GATTTATAGTACCACTAGGGAATCTAAACTTTTTTCTAAAGTAAAGACATAAATCTTTTTTTTTTTGTTATTTTTATGATGAAATGAATTTTAAAGTTTCATCTGAGTATCTGGTTGTCAGTTACTATCCATCAGTTATTCTTTTACACTTTATTATAAAAAGATTTTCCCTGGTGCACTCTATTTCATAGCTTTTTCAAAGAAATCTCACAAAAAGTGTGAAAGTATTCAATGAGCCATACATGCCCACATAAAGTTAAATATACTTTTTATCTCTGCTGCATATTTATTTTATGCAGTATGTCACTTGATTTGCAGTGAGTTGGAAATTTGAGTGTTGCTTTTCATATCAAGTCACACATTAAAATTATTATGTGGTAGCTAGAACTATTCTACTGTCGTTGAAGCCATCCCCAACTCCTTTAATTTTGCATGTTTCTACTGTGGAAAGCAGTCTTCAGGCATACTGTGTAAATACAGCGCAATAGGTTTGGCATCAATACAGTTATTCACACCTTCTCTAGGAAACCAGAACACATAATTTATTAATTTATGTTTCATTGATAGAGCACATTAATTTTCTAAATTGTTGCAGGGCTGAGCACTATCATTACAATTGTCAATTGATAACTTACTTGTAAAAAACTCTGAAGTCATTAAGATATCTTACGAGCAAGATTCTTGCTTAGCTAGTATATATTTGTTCACGGAAGTGCAGTGAGTTCTGTGTTTTATGGGCAGATGGATGGTAAACTGTTGGTCAAATCCTCTCTACCATATTGAGGGCAAAATAGCTCAGAATATATAGCATAAGCTTTACTGAATTATGCTATGTAATTTTGAGTCTCTCATAGCAGTCTTAGAGAGGACACTGACTTACTTAAAGAGAAGAAAATATGAGGGACACATTACCAGATGGGAACAGAGAAAACTTTAAAAAGGTTTGGTTTTTAAAGGAAGACAATGGAAGTTATAATCCTAAAGATAAATTTTCTAAAGGACTTCATTGTGGTAGAATATTAAACTAATGATTACCAGTGAAGAAAACTTCGGAGCAAGTGAACTGCTTTCAAAAATTTGATTTACATGTATTCAAAAAAATGCAAAAACTATCTGAAATAAAGTAAATAAACTGCTTCTGAAATCTGTAAGAAGAAAGTAATGTTAGCGGTGTGCATGGAATCAGGATTCCAGCACAATCTTCTTCACCTCTATTCATTGTGACTAGGGCACAAAAAGTGAGAGCAAAAATGCTTGTTTCAGAAATTCTTTTGATTCTGACAATCCGGAAAACTACAAAAACCTGGTGTTTAACCAGGCATTCCAGAGGCTGTTGTTTCTGATCTATGTTTAAGAGAAACCTAACTTCTGGTAAAATTAAATAAGGGCTATTTCCAAGTAGCTTTATCCTGATATATAAACATGAATTTCTATTTCTCACAGCTGAGAAACTGACTTGCAAGCTCAGCATTCCAAACCCAAAAACTCACAGCATGTGGCACCAAGCAGCATATCAGTTTGAGACAAAAGATCAGTTTTGCTTCATTTCTTAATGTGTAGATATAGTCTTGACTCTTTCTCTGAAGTGAATAAAAAAGTATTTTATTTGGAGTTAAATATTTTGATTTTCAAATTTTCTTCTTTTCAGGGAAGTTTGACACAATGTCAGATATCAGTTGTGTTTTTTTCATAAATAACTATTCAAAATACTTCCAACTGTACTTGATTCTTTATTTAAACTAAGGCAGTTCATTTCAACTTGGTGAGGCAGGTCTACGTCTATAAAACCATATCATGTAAGTGAGGAAAGCATGTCCAAGTGTTTTTTTTTAGTCTATTTCTGAATTAAAAAAACCCATGTTAAATGGACCTGTGATGAGACCTTGAGCCAGCCAGAATGTCTTGGTAAGTCTAACATTGCTTAAAGCAAATATAACAGAAGCCACATGAAAAGCTTACATAGTATAAAGTTAATAAAAGACAGAATCAAAACTAAAGATAAATAGAACATACCTGCTAAGGTAGACGATAAAAACATAAGTAAAAAAGCAACCTCCCAGTCCTTTCTGTCCTTAAAGGACTGTCTCTCCTCCAGCCTAGTTCTTGGTTTAGAACTTGGTGCCTATGACAAGCATCTTTCTCACTGACACCCTTGTGTCTTGCCTACATTTCTGCTTCTTGCTTCTCCCCAGAGAGATCATAGGAATTTTTGCTGCTTGTTTGGGTTACTTACTTTTTTAGTCTCCCCATGGTGCTTATCCAGCAGGAACCTTGTTCAACTGACTATGCTCTCTAAGATGGAATAACATGTTCCTGATAGTAATCAAGGCACAGGGTCAAGGCAGTCATCTCACCCAGTCCCAGACTACTGGCAGCAAATAGCACAGGCTAATCAACAACAGACACTATTAATCATATTTTGGCACTATGTGCAAATATATATTGCAATGGATTTTTTTTTAAGAATTTATTATTTTCAAAATTAAACCTAATGTTGTCTATATTGCAAAAGGAAGAAAATAAGTAATAGTTAAAGTAGTCATAGATGTTCAGCTTCATCAGTCTCACAGATCTTCCATGCCTGAGTAATCTGAGTATGTAGTTACCTTGATTTGATAACTCGCTGTTTACAACTTTACTCTTTACCTCATACTCCATCAGACTATTGGGTCTATCCTCAACATAAAATGGCCTGGTGCATTGTATTGGCAAATATATATATTACCACATCTTCTGCTCAATTACAGATAGTAATATGGTAAATATTGATATCTAATTTCACCAGTTCTCAGAGTCTTTATATAAATGTCTAACATATCCTTTAGTCATCTGCAAGCACCACCTCTACAATTCTGATGATTTTTTCATTAAAAACTCCCAAAAAATCCATGAGCCACCAGTGTGCCCAGGTGGCCAAGAAAGCCAATGGTATCCTGACCTGTATCAGGAACAGTGTGGCCAGCAGGTCCAAGGAAGTGATTCTTCCCCTGTACTCAGCGCTGGTGAGGCCACACCTTGAGTACTGTGTCCAGTTCTGGGCCCCTCAGTTCAGGAAGGATATTGAGGTGCTGGAGCAGGTCCAGAGGAGGGCAACAAGGCTGGTGAAGGGACTCACGCACAAGTCCTATGAGGAGAGGCTGAGGGAGCTGGGGCTGTTCAGCCTGGAGAAGAGGAGGCTCAGGGGAGACCTCATCACTCTCTACAACTACCTGAAAGGAGGTTGTAGCCAGGTGGGGGTTGGTCTCTTTTCCCAGGCAACTGTCAGCAAGACAAGAGGGCATGGTCTCAAGTTGTGCCAGGGGAGGTTTAGGTTAGATATTAGAACGAATTTCTTTACGGAGAGGGTGATCAGACATTGGAATGGGCTGCCCAGGGAAGTAGTGGATTCTCAATCCCTGGAGATATTTAAAAAGAGACTGGATGTGGCACTTAGTGCCATGATCTAGTAACCGCAGTGGTAGTGGATCAAGGGTTGGACTTGATGATCTCAGATGTCCCTTCCAACCCAGCTGATTCTATGATTCTATGATAAACCAAAAAGCCCCCACTAAATAAATCTTAGCATTAAAGTCAAGTTTGTTGCTTTTATAAGTACATTAACATTAAATAACCTAACATGTAAGATTGAAACAAGCGTCACCATTAGAAAAGCTGTAATAGTGGTAGTTTGTGTAATTTGACAAGAAATTATAATTCTTTTTTATAAAAAATACATGACCAATGACCTATATGGTTGTGCAGTATGCTATAGATCATTCACAAAATCGCCAATTATGAAAATATCTAGTCATTTGGGATTGAAAATCATGTCTAAAAAGAGCATTTCAGTGAATCCTGGGAAATGCATCTAATCAGTCTGAAAGATATTTTAGAGGATGTTCCTCTTATGACCAAATGAAGAGGAGTGGATCTTCTTTCTTTTTGCTTTCACAGAAATGTTTAGTTCTCAACACTTTGGGGAAAATTCTTACATATTTTACAATTGAATTTTTGTCTATATAACTCAAAACCTATTAGAAATTAAGTTTAAGCTAGAAATATGTAATGAGGATACACAACATTTTTTGTGTCTCACTCATGCCTCCTAAACATTCAGGATGTCAGTATTGCTTATCTGTCTTGTTTAACTGTTAAAGAGGAGCACAAATGATAAAGAAATATCAGACACAACATTTGCACAGGGAAGGTCAGTCAAAGTGCATCTGGTCACCAAGTCACACGAATTCTTTCTATGTTCTGCTGGGATCAGATTTACAGATAGCAAAAGATATCTGTCTGCTTACATGTTGTAATCAATCCCTTCTTTTCATAAAATAAAGATCTGAAGAAAAAAATAATTTTTTCTTTTTTTTTTCTGAAACTCTTTACAGAAACAGTAAGTAATTGAGAAATATGCCATTGCTAATAAGTCAATATTCAATAGTTGCATTGTATGACTTTTTTTTCCCTTTAATCACTTACGTATAGTCAAATTATTTTTCGTAATATGGTGAAGTAGAATAGTTGAATGGCCTGCTACAAATATGAAGCTCAGAACTGATTTAATTGGTATTGTACTTAGCCTTTTTTCTTTACATTTTTCTTTGTTTCATCTTGATTGTTTGCTAGTGTTATTGTAAGTAAAACAAAAGGATAAATGATAATAACTGCATATACATGTAAAGGAAACAAAACAAAACAAGAAAAAATATCATCAGGTAAATTTAAATAGATTGAAACTTAAATTTATCCAATGAGGGCTGAAGGAACAGGATTCACAGTGTAAATCTGAACTTACCTCCAGGGTTATTGGAAAATTCATGTACATGTTGTGAGCAAGTTGGTCCAACTTTGTTTATTTTGGCCTATTATCTTTATAAAACCCACTGAAGCCCTTCCTATGAATGCCATCTCATTATTTTATGTTTCAGTATGGATAATTTTCAGGTACTTTACATGAAAGATGTTTTATGGAAATAAAGTGACTTGAATTTATCATGGAAGAGTAGGGGAAAAGTTACCTTTCAAGTGATTTGGATTTTTCCCATTAGAATGTTATCACAGCTGGTTTTCAATGTTCTGATGCTTCCTAGTATATGCTGTAAAAAAAAAAAAAAGGAAATGCAAATCATAGACAAAAATGTTTATGTTTCTTCTATTGTGTTTCTTTTATAGCATCTTCTTTTTACTTTATCTCTACCCACTCATCTCCAGATGGTGTTTATGAACGAAGTGTATATTTAATGTACACCTATTGCAGAGGAATCAACAGCTAATATTAGAGAGATGTATGAAGATGGATGGAATGTTAATCAAACTTGTATACAGTGCACAAGTTCTTCATAATTTTTCAGTTTTAACAGCTTTATTTCAAACAATGGTTTCAAACTTACTATCTCTGTCTCTCAAACTTCTGCTATGCTTTGGGGCTTTTGAGTATTTTTTTGGAGGAAAGGGAATTTTTTTATTTTGTAAAAGAAACTGGAGCTAATGGTTTTCAGTTATGCCTTGTGCTTTCGTAACTTCCAGCTAATCATTAATCCTTGAGCAGTGGTCTGAACTTTGGTCATTACTACTTAAAAAGTCACAAAGAATGTTAATGAAATCTAATAAATATCTAGGTTACCCCCAGAGATCATGGCTCCTGGAATAAATAGAGAATAATGCTTGACAGTCTACAGTAATTCATATTTATGAATGAAAAAGAGTGAAGGAGTCTGCTTGCATGATTCCTAACAGGCAATGTCACTAAAAGCCTGTGAGAAAATATTTATTTCTGTGCTAAGCCCTGATGTAAATATTATGAGGGAGGGAAAAGAACACTTATGAGCAATATCTGTGGATGAAATTCTTATTAGGGAAGGGTGTAGATGACCAAAGGTGAAACAGTCAAATTTGCCAAATTGGTGTCAGAAATAAAGGACTGTGCTATTTCTTCAGATATTTAAATTTGTCACCAACACAACAGCACTGCTTAGGCCAGTAACAGCTTTGTTTGCTGCCTACTGCATGACATCTGCCCCTAAATTTTCAAGGTGATACACAGAAATGTAGCTTTCTAACTCCCATTACAGTCCAAAGAAACTGCTGCTGACCTGGAACCCAGTATTTCACAAAAAATTACCTAGAAGCTATTGTGTGTCTTTTGTCAGTGCTATACATCAGAATTAAGAACAGATTGTTATTAAACCAATAACTTTATCTGTGTGACACATATTGTGTATTTTCATCCATTACAAAATACAGTTGAGAGAGTAAACATTATACCTGCTTCAGTTATAGGTCCAGGCTGTGGTTTACAGGATGAAATGTTTGCCTTGGACAGTAATGAGTGTTGCCAGTGAGAAATGACCTCCAGAATAGCAATATAGTTTATACACTATTTCATATACCACAGAATAGTCATGGCGTATAGCCTTATAGCTTTACTCTGTGTCTTGTGAGAAGGTATCCGTTGTTTTCAGGTTTCTGATCTTTCTCAGCACCAAACAAAGCAATTCTCTATAGCCTGTTTTAGTGTCAACATTATTGACTGCTGCAAGTTGAGGATAGGAAAGAATATACATACATACATATACTTCTTTTTATAGCTCAGACTTATACTTGAAGGTAGGAACAGACAAGAAGGAAAAATTTGCAAGTGGCTACAAACCATTCTGGAAGAATGGGAGGATCCTGGTGTTGGCATGTACATACATGTCAGCCTTTTCCTGGCTAGACAACTGAAACCAGTCCTGAGAGAGGTTCAGTGGTGTTTTATTGCTAAAGGATGAGACAGTTCTAGGTATATTTACTTAACTCCAGATGCTTATCTGAGCTCTCCAGCAGATGAGTCTTACTGCTCTGGGGTCCACCACTTCCTGTTATGAAAAGAACCACATCCAGGTCATGACTTGGGACAGCTCAGTAACTAGGTGCTGCTATTTATTTCCATTATGGAAGATCCAATTATCTGACTATTGGAAACTTACTTGTCTTGGCAAGGTGGAACTAGTCAGGGTATGTTTTTAGACATCTGAGAGTAATTGAAAAGCCAGTCTTCCTAAGTTGGACTACAGTCACCTTCTGTAAGTCACTGGTACATACTTATATCTGCAATAAAATTAATGGGCTTTGAATGCCACAGATGGTCATTCCTATCAAACTCTACATTTTAAAAATTACTAGAAATATAAAGCCAAAACCAAAGCTAAGCTACTCTTAATATAATCATCTTTAGAAAGCCTTTTGCAGAATATAAAGTGTTTTTTGACAAATGGCAATGTAGTGTCCTATATTTTCCCTTGTTCTTCTTCTGTCCAACCTCTTTTCTCCAGGGTGACTTGGTTCTCCCAGAAAATTTTTCCCAAATAACACCACCATACTTGTATTTACCTTTGAAAATGGAAGAGAAGGAAGATGAAGGGAAGGGGATGATGAACTTTCAATCAATTTGATTTTCATTCCAAAAGTTCATACTTCTGACTGTAAGTGAATAGTGCAGTTTAAGTTGCATTTCTGTCAGTTTGTTGTTCTGGTCTGATGTAATATGATGTGATCAAAATAAACATGAATTAATCAGACATTTATATTTGCCTTTTTTAATCTGACAGACAGAACTACTTTTATGCTATATTAAGAGCAAAGCTACAGAAACACGAAAATTTAAGCCACTTGACAGATTTTTTTAAATTCTGAAACATTATTTTAAAGTTTTATAAACTTAGTTTAAAATATTTTTTTATTAAGTCAAGTCTGTTTCTTGTTCATGCCTCTGCATATTTTCTCAGGAAAATTAATGAGAAAATGGACTAATTGCATTCACTGTCACATAAATTTTGAAATCAGAAGAGGATTAACAGTAACATTTTCTGCTCTTAATATTCTATACTTGAAATAAATGCATTTGGTTCTTCTGCAATTAATACTTTAAAAAGATAATGACATATTAATTGTTCCAAGAAGTGTTCACATTGAATCACATAGTGAAGCAAGGATATATAATGGTAGGTTTAGTGCTATAAAAATGGTGTGATTACTGAGAGAATCTGAGAATTATGTTTGTCCATTCAAATGCAGATTTATCAATACTGATCACGTTTTTACCTACCTTTAATCTTCATTCAGCACGAAGAAGGTATCCGTGGGACATATTCTTTTTTCATACTTTACACAAAGAAGAAAGCAGGAAGCTATCTAACAGAGTGAAAGGGAGGCAAATCACAGTCCAGGGCCATTGCTTCCTCTGAACAGAATATGTTGGGCTTTAACTAATAGGACAAGAAAATGTATTGCTTTCCTATGCGCTGCACTTCTCAAGAACAAGCAGTCTTGCCTATTTCAATTCAAATTAACATATTTGTTTGAAGGTAAGATACGATATTGATTGTATGCCTTTTTTTTTCACAAAATATGTGAATATAGATATATATATATACACAACTGTAAAAAAACCACACACGTGTGTGTTTTTTCTCCGGTGTAAGTATAGCAGTATATTTCACTATGCGCTCACTGAAAACAAATCAAAGGATTGCACTGACACATTATTTAAATAAATCACAACATTCCTTAGTCAGTGAGCAAAATATCCAAGTACAACACAGGTCTTGAAACAGCCAATTTCCTTGAACAAAAAATGGGGACCCAATGACAATACAGAGAGGCTACTGCTTTTATAAGTGAACTAGAATGAATATGTTTGGCTTAGATATAGGCTATATCTATGGAATAAATGTCTTTCCATTCAGATATCTGTGGTTTCAGTGTGTCTGCTGGAGTTAATAACTCCAAAACTCTAAGCACTGAACCTAAGCCTTTTTTCTTTTCTCTCTAGAGTATTCATCCATAATTCTACCAACTTGAACTGCATGGAGAAACAAGTAATTACAAATTGTACCACAATTAGTTTATATATGGGAAATATAGATCTGAAACTAAATTTTCTAATCAAAGCATTACATTCTGAGCCAGCAACAAATTAGTTTGATTAGTTATTGTGCAAACTGTTGGCCTAAGAAACCATCTGTAAACAAAGACAATTGGAAAAATATTGGAGATTATAAACAGTCATAATGTTAACTTGCTTTTGCATTTTCTCACCATGTAGTGCCAATGTGACATTGTAGAATCTGCAAAGTAACAGTGTATTATGAATATGTAAATATGCCAAATATGCTTTAAGCTCCAGTCTGGCATGTTGATAAAACAGAAAGTTACTGCATGCTCTGAAACTGAACATTAAGCTCTCCACATTTGCTAACATTAATCCAAGCTACTCGCTGTACTGCAGCTTGAAAGATGTTCAATTAAAACTCATTCTGCCTGGTATAAATTACTATTATTATGTTGTGAAAGAAAACCTGAAAATATCTGCTAACTTGTTATATGTGCACTGCCCTTACTCTCACCTCACCTCCCAGTCAGTGATTTCAGAAAATTGCCTTTAGTTATTTAAAATTCTGTCATGAGCTGGTTTAAGAAAAACAATGAAGAGCTGAATACATGCACAATTTTTTGAGAATTTCATACTTTAGGCTACTGGATAATAACTGTTGGCAATAGCTGTATTTTGAACATTTATTTTTATTTCCAGGGTGGAAAAGTTTACTTACACACACAGGCACATACATACATATTTTATTAGACTGACATTCATTGCTAATATCCATTGATTTGTCTTAAACTATCATAAGAACAATCAGATACAAAGTGACTTTCAGATCTCAGGTAATATAAAAATAATTCATCCACGTATTGCTTTGATGAGGAAAAAAAACCCACATAATGTTGCAGTCATTCTCACTAATTTATTAATAGTCAATAAGTTGAACTGTATGGATGAGCTATCCAAGCATAAATTCTGTTACTCTCAGACAAGAAAAGACACATGTAAATACCTAAATTATAGTCTGATCACAAACAAACTGATTATTTGATTGCTAAAAATGTCATATTAATCATATGGCAAGTTTAATATTAGCACAGTTAAGGTATATTTGAAAGCACTAATTCAGAAAAGCCCTTGTAAATACTGATAAAACCAGGCAAGTGTCACTATATTCTATTTCCATAAAAAATATTCTAAACACCCCGAATTTCAAAATTAGAAATGTCCTTAAACACATGTCTAACAAATATATAGGTAATTTTACTATCATCCACTTGTACTTAATAGCAAGCATATGCCAGCCAACATTTTCTAAAATATGGCTGACTCTTGGGAGTTTTGCATAGCTTAAGACAGAACACTGGAATGAACACAATTAAAAACTTGGCAGTATTTTCAATGCCATCACTCCCCAAACTCCCAATGATAGCTATAAAATCAAGTAGATTTTACAAAAACATACAAGGACAGCATTCTTGTATGCTGGACAAGATCTTTCATATTTTCGAGTGGTATCTGACAGGGTCTGTGAGGCTTTCAGGGGCATCCATCATCTTTGTCTGTTCTCTGGTAGTACTTTTGAGTTTCCTGGTATAGCTTGAGAAATATCTGCTAGGGAAAACCTGAGCAATGGTTTCCTAGG